CGCTCGCACCAATTGCCTCGCGCCTTGAACTCATTGCTAAATTAATCTTCTGCCTACATGCCATACATACGTCCCAGGTATGGAGCTTTCGAACACACTGCATCATTGTTACGTTTAAATGAGAGAGAACGTTGTTTGTTGCAAGTTTTATTCGCATCAGCAATTAGGAATATCAGATGTAGGGGTACTCCTTTATGCGCTTGAGAACTGCGGGGTAGGTCGGCAGCAAATCGCTACACTTGCTGCAATAGACTCGTGACCCAGCCCCGTCGCGCCTGCTCACCTCACAATTAATTCCGTCGCCGACACTGATTCAAGAGTACAAATTCATTGAAAAAAATCTGTGCAGTCACCCACACAAAGTAATGTTTTTAAAAATAATTGCAATTTAATCCCCGTACAGACTACAATAGAATTCAGTTTACGACGATGCGATAAAAATGCTATTAGCTGTGAACTCTGGTGATCTCCGAAGTGGCGCGATGCTACGTCTATCAGAGCCGTTTGATTGACGCCGGACACGACGGACGGACAATACGCTTTACAATAACGATGGCATTACACTTTCATGTTGCCGCTGCCGCTCTCGCACCCGCCGGTCTGACGGCAGCCTCTTGCCATAGTACCGGACAATGCCGCCTCGCAGTTTCAGTTCGACATCTGACTCCACTTAGCGTCCGTCTCTATGTCACATTTTTTGTATGCAAGATAAGTAATATCTGACACATTTTTTGCTCTACGCAAATAACGTTAATGACTCGTTCCTCACTTTCACTGCCCACTGTTTGCGCATTGACAGTTGGACAGATTTCCGCAATAATGAATTAGAGATAGATGGTTAGAAAATTGTAACGCATCATGCCGATTATAGCGATAGCATTTAACAAGCAAAAAGGAAGATACAAATGCGAAAGAGATGATAGCATTTTCTTCTCATTATAATATATTATTGGTATGTGCAATAAATACGCAACATTGCGCGAGCTGCGAAGTCTTAACATACTCGTAGAAAGTTTCATGCAGCAATTGCTAAGCTGATATCTCGAGAAAGTGTCTCGAATTGTTGTGTCGAGCGAGACTTTCCTTGGAGCGAAGGTAATCGATACTCATCTAGAGCTTTCAATTGTATGTTCTCAGGCTGACTTGTCATGTCGCATGTCCATTGCAACCGGTTGGATTCCACAAAGCAGTCACATTGCGGCCGCGGGAATTGATTAATACGTATTCCATTCACATTCCACTAAAAGCAGCTCTTATTTTACATCTCTTTTTTCAAAACGACCGCAAATCTACAAAAGGAAAACAAATTTTCTATATAATCTAAACACGGAAACTATTAAATTAACTACATTTAAATTGGTTCCGCCTGAATCGAGGCTATTTTAATGTTTTTTTTTATGAGTCATCAAAGACCACTCAAAATTTAGCAACACGACATGAGAATTGAGACGAAATACTAACAGACAGAGACGATGTCCATGACTTGGTTCCACACTACATGACAGATTGGAATTATTGTTAGTTTGACATCAGTCTCTCGACTTACAAAATTGACAACCAAACGCATGTAGCTTCGACAAAGTAACATATATGAAAGTCGAAAAATAAGTGCTTCATCTAAATAAGTAATGTATAATGATCCTCAATTACACTTTTATTAATTTCGTAACTTTGCACGTCTTTACACTAATAGTTTTTTACTTATAATAAGCTTGTGTGCATTCGGCAGTGCTCCGAGGCTCGGGGCTCGGGGCTCGAGTGCGATTGCTTCTCTCAATTCGATTGCTCTTACGCAATCGGCTTTTGATAGCGACCGCTAATAAACCGGCGACTGTGGAGTTTTGTTCACAATCTCTCGCTTTGATCCGACGTTGACAATATGTGGGTCAAGTTCATTTCGTATATCTTCTCGTAAATTTAGAAGTTACGTCATTTTATACATATGACGAACGATTTATATGTTAATTTAAAACGGTTTCAAGTTTAGGTCAGTGTGATTTTTTATTGAGGAAGTTACTTTCAATTAGTAATGTGTTTTTATCAAACAAAACATCGATCGGTATCTTCTTATCTTCTATATATTTATATACAGAAATCAGAGTTTTTATTTTTTTCCTCTTACACTGTGCATGTCTAAACTGTGATGGAAATATTTTATGAATACAGAATTATAGAATTTTATGTTACTGCACACTGCAACGCATGCCGGGTAAGATTAGTAATAACTCATTTGCGATAGTCAAAATTCGATCTCCCTCTGGCTTATAGAATATTAACTAGACCAGCAGCTGTCAGTTTTGGGGGTAGATAATGATCTTCGAGACGCGAGATGAGTTTCTCTGGTTGCAGTAATTGACGTCCATCATTACAGCTAGCAAGCTGCAGCCTCGTCGGCCCATTGTTCATCACGCGTCTCGTTCCGCCCTCGCCCCAGTTCCCCGCCAGTCGCCCCTTGGCGACCACTCTCTCGCCTCGCTTCGAGGTTTCTCTCGCTTTCAGGTTTTAAATCATTCCCTAGATCTTAACTCGCGATATGTAATTTAAAATAGAAGCAGCTGTGTGTTCTGTCGCTCGGCTCTACAAATTATATGATAACGTCCTTGTCGACCCGCGCTCTTGACACAAGTGTTGTCTCTGTGCTCTTGCTCCGACACAAACAGCATGTGCTCGTTCTGAAATATTAGTAATGAATGTCCTTAACTAACAATAATACTTTCTACTGAGTTACAATATTTCATGTAGCTTATGATTGTAAATAAAACCCGAACATAACAATGTTGTTTGTACAACAGTCACTCTTCATGATGTGAAACTTGTCTGTTTACAATATTTATCTGAACACTCGAAATTGTTAGTTATTTTCTTGTGAAATAAACATTCGAATATGAAAGGAAAAACTTTTTTTTCAAATGAAATGATGCTATTTGCGATAGATGATTTTACTTTATAAATATACCAGTTGGACTTACTTGTAATTCAAGTTGATATTTTCGTGTTTAAATCCAGTATCGCTGAGTCAGAATCGCACAACGGAATATTATTCGATTCTCGAAGCCAAAAAATAGTACGACATGACCTCGTGCCGATGCGAGTCACGTCCAGAACGTCTCTACGGCCCGTTGACTCACGCGCCTCACGCACCTCATACGCCTCACATAAGTCTGAGCATGTATCACTATGTTATTACACGCTTTTATTGTGTTCCCGAGTATCTGTACTCCACTTGCCGGGTGCACAGCTTACCTATGTAAACACAAATGTGACATCAATACAAAATAAATAAATTGTACATATTTTCTCATAGCGGATGCATATACTTCACCGCGATTTAATGCAATCGGAATACAAAGGCGATCACGATGTGATTTGAATATAATGTGCGCCGACAGAGAACTGGAAAAGTGGAGCAGTGGTGAGGTGCAGCAAGTGCAGCGAGGTCAGGGAGTGCAGCATTGCGGAGTGCGGGGTGACCTGCTGCTGGGCGGGTCAGCGGATCAATGCGCGGCCGCCGACCCCGACACCGACTTACCATTACTTACCCCCCCCCATACAAATTAATTTTAATATACTTCCTTGAGAATAAATTAGTTTTCGGCAAATGTTTTGCGTTCAAAATGAATACAATTATTTATAAGGTAAAAAAAGATAATTTATAAATTCATCGAATTACTTTTGCTCATTTACAAACACAAATGAATTCGCGATGGGTTAACAGATCTACCCCAACTACACAGAAAATGTTGTTGGAAAAATAATACTGGAGCGTTTATAACTGTAATTTATGAATACGAAATGATGTAGCAAACAGTAGACAACGGTGAGTGAGTCATTGCAATTAAGCAGCGGGCAGGGCGGAGGCGGGGCGGGAGTTATGTCATCGGCTGATGTTTTATTTAAAGCACGTGCCATAAATTACAACTTAATTGTAAGCAGTATACTTATAAAGCGGCACGGTCACTGCCGATGCTTTTTATGCACGTTGTTAGTCCGTTACTGCCTGCCTCATTCATCCTCTGTTCATGTACGGATATGGAGAAAGTGAAAGATGATACAACTTATTCTATTCCGAAGATAGATTTAGAGTACCTAAAGTGTGTCGGCCTACGTCTGCATGTAGGTATGTACAAATGTACACAAATATTATGATACATAGTTTGTCCGACAGTCGTAGTCGCAGTCGCAGTTAGATAATGCTCATTGCGCTTCGTAGCACAAGTTGAGGAGCGTGGCAATAGTCGGCAGTGCGGCGGCAGACAGCGCGGCAGCAGCGGGCAGCAGAGCGCAGGAGCGAGGTCGTCGAACCGGAACCCGCGCCATTTGCCCAGCTTTGCTCATATCTCATTTAAACTTACTAGTTTTTGTTACCACTTACTTTTTATCTTGTTCATTTTTGAGGACTTTTATAACCGTATCTCAGACATGTCAAGTCAATAAGTTGTTTGTCTCTTAAATGATTATTATAGCCATATGGTGTTAACTAAGGCTATAATAAAAATGTTTTTACAAACAACGAGGTATAAAATATCCTACGTTCATTTTAATACTTGTCCGTCGAAAGTTACACTCTAAATTTCTGTATATTGTATTGGTAATACGTGGAAGCGAATGACTTTTCCTTTGTCTCGATTTTATATTTATGCGTGATCTACGCTAAATGTGTTACAACTGAACGTGAAAACTGTTTAACGAACCGTTATTAAGTAAATGCAACAAACGCAGACGAGACGAAGTCGAGCACAAAAACTGTCAGCGCGCATACAGCAGGAGATAATAAATGCATACCGCAATTTGCTACATGTCGCTATCGTTACATTAGTGCGGTGGCGAAAGCTCGTATCTATATGGAAACTATACAACAACTACACAAACGAACATCCAGAATAGGCCGAGATTACAGAATTCGTCACATTTTTCCTCTCATTCTCATTTTTCTCATCTCGCCTCTACATGTGATGTGTCGGTCGGAATGTGCTGACGTGCGTGCGTTTGCGTGTTGTCAGGCAAGGTGGTATGTGGCGCGTGCGGCGGCAAGTGCAGCGGGGAGGTGCTGCGCGTCACCGACAAGTACTTCCACACGGCGTGCTTCACCTGCCGCGCCTGTTCCGCCTCGCTGGCTCGCGGCGGCTTCTTCTGCAAGGATGGCCACTACTACTGCCCACAGGTACACTATCTTTTGATGTCATTACGAGTTAAAAATTTTACTTAGCTTTACGTCAAAGAGAGGCCATGTTCGTGTAAATAATGTGGACATTCTGAGTCTGGAGATAAGAGTTGATATTTGTGTCCCACGTTCCATCGAAATATGATGTGGTTACAGGATTACCAGCGCGCGTTCGGTACGCGGTGCGCGGCGTGCAGCCAGTATGTGGAGGGCGAGGTGGTCAGCGCACTCGGCAACACCTACCACCAGAAATGCTTCACCTGCGCGCGCTGCAAGTGGGTACCCACCGCCTTCAATCTCGCCATCTGATTAACATTTCTTTTTAAAAATACTTGTCGAAGGCCTGCTCTATTCCGTCTTAGCTACAGTTGAACTTGAAAGTCCCCTGTGTGGTGTTTCAGACGCGCGTTCCCGTCGGGTGAGAAGGTGACATACACGGGGTCGGAGGTAATCTGCGGCGGGTGCGCGGCGCCGCAGCGTCACACGGCGCGCGCCACAGCCTCCCCCGCATCCCCCACCACACCGGCCTCCCCCGGCTCGCCCGGCTCCCCCGCCTCCCCCGCCTCGCCGCGCTCCCCCGGTTCGCCCATATCCCCCGACAGAGACGACGTCGACCAGCGCCAGCCGGACCCCAACGGTAAGCTCCATGCAGAACACGATACCCAACTTACAACGTCGGAAACCACGCATTTACTACATTCATGTGAATCAAATAGGAGTACAGTAGCGTCATTGTCACTACTCTAGTTGTATCATGATAGATGTTAAAATGTGGTTTTATGAAGTATATTATTGGTGTTGTCCGCCAAACGCTCGCGCCATCCGGTGCACCAATTGCCGGCCGGCGGCGGCGGCGGCGCACGCGCATTGTGTACCGCGCTTTGTTAGCGCGCGACTCACTTTGAGGACACACTTCGCAAATTGTTTATCATTATCCATTTTGCAGCTATGAAATAGACAGAGGATCTATGTTCTTTTATATTACAAGGTGGCAAACACGCAAAAAACGAAGGAAATAACGAATCTACCGCTGCTCATAAATATCCGCAATTGCAGAGGGACGCTCACAAAGATAATATTTCTCATTCTTATGCTTCCTCTTCTGATCCTTTCCTTAAAAAAACGGATGGGAAAGACAAGAAGACTACAACTTGTCTAAACATGGAATTATTAGCACTATGGTCGTGTCTTCTGTGTGGTCGTGATATTTCACCGTTTGATGTTTTTTTGCGGCTGTATGTATATTTGTAACATCATCAGTTTAGGGCTGTAAGGTATTTGACTTAGCTAAGGCGTGACGTGTATTGTGCTGCAGATTGCGCGGGTTGCGGACAGGAGCTGTCAGAGGGGCAGGCGCTAGTCGCACTCGACAGGTCAGTTAAGCCAGAGAGCCTCTACTTACATATTGTAATGTCAACACATATAGCGACCTCGCGACATATACACATTTATTTTATGATGATGATTAGAACAAATATGCTACATCGTATGACTTCATTGTTCTACAACAAGTACCCACCATTAGTCAATTATTTTGCGACACTAGATTTTTCTTCATCATTCCTCTTTAAACAATATTTTTAGAAAATGTTTAGAATTGAGTTTTAATATAATAAAAAAGTAATTTACGACAAATAAGATTAATTTTGAAATTAATTCCGTTTGCTTTGATTAGTATGTAAATGTAATTAACCTTGTCCGGTATAAAGGGATTTAGTATGACGTGCGCAGGAAACCCCTCGTGTCGTGTCGTGTCGTGTCGGGTCGTGTCAGTCGCACTCGATACAACGTCCAATCGCCCGGCAAATTGTTGTCACTTTGGGTCAAGCGATTTGTTTACATGCTAGCGGATATCGGGTGACATCATCTATTGTCGTACATTTAAAATGATTACCTCTACTGACACACAAATCATCTACTATGGAGAAATTTTAAAATATGGTATTGATTAAATAATTATCTAACACGAACACTCAATATGTTAGACAGATAACAAATAGTAACGGACGGTATATGTTTACTTTTTAAATATAAAGGATTTTTGTGATTTTCTATTATAATATCTTTTGTAACCATTCCTAACGAAGTGTAGACTTGTGCTAGGAAATGTTTAAGTATCATATCGAGCGTGTGTTTGTTTGGCGGCGGCAGGCAGTGGCACACGTGGTGCTTCGCGTGCGGCGAGTGCGGCGCGGTGCTGCGCGGCGAGTACATGGGGCGCGGCGGCGTGCCCTACTGCGAGCGCGACTACCAGCGCCTGTTCGGCGTGCGCTGCGCCTACTGCCAGCGCTACATCTCCGGCAAGGTGCTGCAGGCCGGCGACAACCACCACTTCCACCCCACCTGCGCGCGCTGCTCCAAGTGCGGCGACCCCTTCGGCGACGGCGAGGAGATGTTCCTGCAGGGCGCCGCCATCTGGCACCCGCGCTGCGGCCCCGCGCCCAACGACCCCCTCGCCCTCGACCGCGCCTGCTCCGAGCTACAGGTACACGCGCGCACACATGCACACGCGCACACATACACACGCGCACACATACACACGCGCACACATTCACACGTGCACACATGCACACGTGCACACATACACACGCGCACACATACACACGCGCACACATGCATACGCGCACACATACATACGCGCACACATACACACGCACACACATGCATACGCGCACACATACACACGCGCACACACACTGTATCATTTCACTTTTACTATTTAGTTGATTTTGTTATTATTTTTATTTTTGACCTGAACTCGACTGGTGACCGCTCGCCACGTTTCCTGTTGCAATGTCACTGCGCAGTGGTCGCTGAGGTCACGCACTCCGAGCGTCAACGGCTCCTACTGCAGCCCCTACAGCAGCCTCACCAGGAAGGTCCGTCCTAATATTGTTTCAGTTTATTTATTTATCACCGTTTGTCTATATATCTTTAGTCATTTTATTTCTTCTTTTTTCTAAGTTCATTTTTTCTTTTTTTGGCAGGTCATTTGTTTTATTTTACTTACCGATCGTTTCACAAATATTACAGCAAAAATAATAAACGTATGTAACACATGAAGCAGAGCAAGTAAACAAGTAGTCGCGTGCATGTTGCAGTACGGGTACCGCGGCGTGTCGCCGGGCCTGGCGCTGCGCGGCGACCGCTCCGGCGCCTCCTCCCCGCACCGCATCACCACGTACTCCTACCTGGCCAGCGAGCCCGCCACGCTGCGCCGCTGCGTGCAGCCCTACGACCGCCCGCCCACCTCGCCGCACTTCCACCGCCCGCCCTGTGAGTGTCCGC